TACATATATATATGTATATTATGTTAGTTCAAAAGTGCGTTTTGATTTTTTGCCGACGTCTTAGTGTTTTTGGAGCATCTTAATATCAGTTGTGACATTTTGTAAACTACCATAATCCTAGTTATGTTTCGCGTGAATCCGTAGCGTATAGCTCAATCATCAAAGGGTTAAAAATGAATACCCACTGGCTTCCCCTAAGGAAAATTTTCAAGTAGTTGCATATTCATTATGAGCAAGCTGTCATCGTAACTTCTTTTTACGGCACTTGTGTGGCATACGATACACACTAAAAAGGTCTACCTAAGAATTTGTTTTCCGTTATCATTAGCTGGGTAAACTACGAGATCAAAATCAAGCTCCATCGCCAAGCCACACTGTTGACATATTCATGACCCCCCCCCTCCCCCCAAAAAAAACAGTGGTACAACCCTAATACTACTAATGTAGGTCCTTAGGTACCACCTGTACATAAAAAAAATCGCGATTTATTCTTTCTCTCTTCGATTTTTTCTAAGGAGGATGAGAAGAGGACGGCCCCTTCTTTTATATATCTAGCTCACTAGCCCCTGACTTTTCTCTATGACCAGTCCCTTTCCGATTAATCTACACACAGACAAACTTGACTCACGATGAATCCGTTGGGGAAAGTTCTTCTTGCCTGTTCCTTAGCTGAAAAAAAACTTGCGTGCAGCTGCCCCCATCTCAAGGGGCGCTTTTTCCCGTGCTACGCTACCCGTCCGTGTCCTTTAGTTTACAGCGAGGATAAGGAAGGAGGGAAGAGGCAAAGTATATCTCCTCTCCGAGTCAAACACACGCACAAGGGCACAACGAACGAAAGACACCAACCAGGGGGGAATACACAGAATCAAAAGACCAGTCACTCAGCAGTCACGACGATGATGAAGGGTCATTCCCGAGGGACGCATCTTCTTCTCTGGGGAGAAGAGGGGGCACTTGCTCTCATCGTCGTTTTTCGTGCACTTCGCTTCGTTTCGGCCACGCTCGCTTCTCTCCTTTGCATCAGTAAGACCGCGCGGCAGTGCGGCAAAAAAATCGCTTGCCAGTTCATCAGCAGCGTTACGTCGGTCCGTTGCCATCCCTAGCTATGCCAGGCCAGCAAAAGTCAGAACCAGTGTTCCGTTTGCCTTTTGCGTTCGTCTGCTGTAGACAACACGGAGGTATGATACTAGTGTAATATATGGAAAAACGAGAAGGATGGCAAAAGAGAAATGCACTGCAGTGTGTCGTCCTAAAGGCACGATGGCTTGGTGACGGAGAAAGCCTTCAGGGCAGTGCCAGAGACATGTTAGAACTGGCTGACATCGTGCTTGGGAAACGTCCGCGGGAACGCGGCTTCTTGAAGCGTCGCGGCCGTCGCAGCCTGAGTCTACGCAGGCCCCAATGGGCGGAAAGATCATATACATAGATTTGATTTCCGCTATGGTATCAATAATGCGATTGCAAAATATAAGGCCAATAGCATTTGGCATATGATTTACAATTAAACGAAAGGGAGAAAAAATTTCAGCTTGATGCTAAAACGGTTCGAATTTCATTGAAATATGAAAACAAATGAAAAATATCTGTTATTAATAGTAGAGCGTTTATGATTTCCATTGTTTCACACAAAAGTAATAAAAACTACAAGAATAAGCCTAACGATACGCCTGTGCGCACTTTTCAATATGTCCATTTGCGCTTTTCTATTATTTTATGTTGAAACCGCCTTTAACTGAGCCAAGGAGGCAGGCAAAATCAAAAACGTATATGAGACTACAACGGTATAATCATTATAACATTATTTATAATAGCACGAATCATAGAAGTCATATATTAAAATGAGTAGTATCTGTGTAATGCGTTGGAAAACGGTCATAATGATGACTAAGTGATGACAATGATTTATTTCATCTTAGAGTGTGCACATTTCAATCAAGTTTTATCACAGCCCTAAATACTGTTAATGACCAATATTTTTTTTTGTGTTTATATCTGTTGTTACGATTGTTTTGATATTATTATTCATATTTATATTTTAATATATTACAAGCATTATATGTTTATTTGTTTACTATATTAGTTTTCTATTAATGTTATGTATGGCGTTTAATAATGTACAGTACAATCTATATAATAGGTATGGTTGGACTTGCATAGCGGGTTAGCTTATGTAAATTCATCTAATTAACAACACAATCCAACTTTTCAAAAGAGACACTCCTAACCCAGTACCTGAAATGCAAGTGGCGTATTTCACCGAGGCCAAGAAAGAAGACGCTCAGCTAAATAGTCATCAATCTCTCAATTTGACGAGGATGGATATTGCTCCTCAGCCAAAAATATCAGATAATTGTCGTCACTTCAAGTCCACGCTTCTCAAGTCTATTCTGTAGATAAATACGATACACTGCGGAATTGTACTGGACCTAGCTCGCTGGATGGCCTGCGTTCATATGTTCCATTGAACAGGTCTCTCGTTCTCGTGGGTAACGTATTTGTCTGCAAATGTTAAAAACATGTGGTGGTCTTGGTTCGAATCCGAGCATAGACACACATTGTTTTGTCGTCGGAGATAATCATCTGGTGGAACGCCTATCGGCAGTGGCAGGCGTAACACATCGAGTATTTAGTGTAGATACTCTGTTAATGTCCATACCGGGTAAATTTATTTTCTATAAGCCACATTTATCCGTGTTAGTTAGATGTTTCATTTTTGACAGATTTGGAATACGCAAAAAAGCAAACATATTTTTTTTTATTACGGCTCACGTCAAACAAAAACGTGATCAAGGACTTGCTAAACTCACTAACTACTAGTTTATTCTGAGTGGTATTTGTATAGAATTAGGCTTTGTCTACTTATAAGAAACGATATGTTGTGATAAGCTGTCCAGCCATTCCTTTCTCCGAGGCACCATCAAGTATTTTTTATGTGTATAAGGCACATCAAAGATTTTTTATTTAACAGTATTAGGCGGTAAAGGTAGTAATGCGCCCTAATATCGAACCCTTCTTGAAACCTATCAGGTCCTCATTTCTCTCGCGTTCCAAACAGGAAATTCGACAGATCGGTCGTTTTTTCATATCAAATGTTTGTGTTTAACATAAAGACGTCTAGCAGCTTAAGTATCGGACGTACAACTCAAAATTAGTTTCATATAGTGATCTTAGGAGAATTTTCAGCTGCTAGCATCGAAATATCGAACGGCATCCCAAAAGGGTTAATATTAGGACATCCTTCCCTAGTTTCCTTATTTGCTAACATTGATTCTATAAAGCTTCTGCAACCATTCGCAGCAACCAGCACACGATGAAAAGCCGGTTCGGTTTGGAAGCTTATTGGAAACGGCGCATTTCAATTGTATACAGTATCATCTAACAATTACAAACAGAGCAAAATAATTTGTATATTCTTCCCGACGCTTCTTATGGTGACCTGCCATAAACAGCTTAGTATTTTACGTGTGAAGATGTAGTATTACTATATAGTTATTCCCATTTTACTCTTGTATGATTGCTAGATGTGTACCTAAACAGGGCAAATATAAAGCTTGCCGTCCTAAAAAGTGTGCACACGATCCGAGTGCGATGCCAACTGGGGCTGGGGAACTCCCTGATGATTTCCCGCCAAAGTCGTAGTAAGTGCCGGATGAGTAGACATGGCTGATCCGGTCGGGACAGTGTGATGTAGGGCAGGTAGCGATATGGCGCTTTGCTGTCCGCCTGCCACAGAGACAGAAGCTAAAGGACCACCAGGTAGCCCTGAATGTGGAGTTACCCCGGTACCGGACGACGTTGATGCCCAATGATCGGATACAGAAGCGTCGCTATCACGAAACCCCTTGGCGAAGGGATTGCTGGCTATTTTCAACTGGGTTATCTGGAAACGGAACAAGAAGCATACATCCCGGATTAAATTCATCACAAGTTCACATGTCCATTAACTCCGCACAATTAGCTCAAAACAGCCAAAGTTCAGTCGCTACCGAAAAAGCACTACTGAGTGTTAGTAGTAAGTTATCAAGTAACAGAATTTAAAATCTAACCCTACGACTGAATGCACTTCAACTTGTCAGTAAAATAGTAGGTGACCGGCAGAAGTAAATAATAAATCCACTCTTTCTTCATACAAATCGTATAGTATTTACATGGATTGTGTTAGCAAAGGCAAGCTACGATAGCTGCCAAGCTGGATAAATACCAGTTGTTACCGCTACGCCGACTACTTGCGGTGCACAAAATGAATAGGTATTCACGACAGCAGTCGGCTAGCGATAGTGAGTGTAAAATCTTGAGAGTTATCCAATGGCACGATATGGGCTCCGCTTGCCCATCTTTTTATATGGTATGAAGGAGCCGGCGTGCGGACGGACCACTTGTGATAGAAATGTTCTTTTAGCTTCACTTTTGACTTTTCGCTTCATCGAACCCTGGGTGCCCTCATGTAACCGCTTTAGGCGAACCTCGCGATAGAGACTCGGACACCTACTGCAACGATAGCACTTTGAAAAACTAAATAGATTCAATGATACTAGTAAGTCCTGTCGTTCACTGGCGCGTTAAGGACAACCAGGAGATAGAAGATCCGTCGTTTCGTTGGCGTGAACAGAGCGGTAAAAGTTTGGAATCGCAATGAACAAGAATCACAATGTCAGAGTGGAGTCGACGTGAGGGCGAAATACGATGACATCCCGTGAGCATATGATTAATGAGGTTCTATGATATAACCAAGCCGGTGCTTCATACGGATATGTAAAGAAAAACGCTACTCACAGCTCTCAATACATATTCGGGTAAAATTTTGACGTGAATTTTTATCTTTGCAATGTCGATCAAACTAGGGAGTTATCAAAATTAGATTTATTTCGGTATATAGCGATCACGTGGAAAGGTCATCTTTTATTTCCTAAATACAAATTGTCGTTTCTTCTCCACAGTGCGCCTCGAATAAACTCCATACGGGTCGCAAATGACTGGATGCCATGTCCATTTCAGCGGCAGATCGATCCTTTCCGTGCGCTGCGTTGATGCGAGTTGCAGCGGATAACAATCGATTACCTTTGATACTTTGCCATAGAAAAGTCCGATGAAGCACCTAAATACAATTGCCATATATCAGTGGGCATGTTTAAAGACGTTTTTTCTTTGGCAAGCCGAACCATCCGCTTAAATAAGCCTTGACAGCTAGATGCTGAAGTTCCTATGAACTACTGCTGCTGCCCTATGGCCGATTCAAGTGCATTCCGCCATCTTTCTCTGGCTGTCTTCAGCATGAACTCCGCCTTGTCCCATGCGTCTTCTCCAATGCATACGAATGATCTAACAGACAAGCTGCTTCTATTAGTCTACGGCCTCAGTGAATAGTTTTCGGGCGTCCACCAAAGCTGCTGCACAGGGTTTGATAGAGAGTTCCAAACTATGCACCATTCGTCTGTCTCTCCTTAATACTGCGTGGACTTTAGCAACATCTCAAGTATCGGTGTCGCGCATTCTTCTCTATGAGGTAGCAGCAGTTTCCCACTAGCAAGCGTCCTCTATAGAGCTCGTGAAAGTGAGTGGTTTCATCGTCCTCTGCTTTGATTCCGCTGGGTTACAGCCAGCGTCAGTGTCCAGCGGCAGTTTGTCCTGTAGGAGTTCTCTCTTCCGCAAGGCTCGCCAACGGGGGCATGCCGTACTGCTAATAGAATAGAACAGGCCATTCTAATGGTAACACGCTGCTGGTGCTGATGCCACACTGCTTCTGTTGATACGACCGAGTGAGAAGCCGTGGGCCGAACCCCGATGACAGCGCCCGATGCTTCTTCCATCCAAGAAGTTTAAGGATGACGGCGGAAGGCGGCCGAGGGGACGAGGTCAAACAGGGCTCATAATGGATTTAATGTACCTACTCGCAGCTATAGTGAACATTCACTGCCACCTTCGCTTTGCATTACTTTTCGCACTATATTAGTATACCTTTCAGACATTTCGAGTCCGCTCGCACGCCAAGTCCGATAATCGCTCGTTACCTAAAAATACCTTATACGAAAGCTTTGCGTGAATTCATCTGTTATAAGCGATCTCTATATAATATCTATACTAATAATAATAATAGTAATATGGTAGATACGTGTGCTGCCATTTCTGCCTTCAGGCCAGTTGCTTTCTGGACAACTCAGTCGGTTACTCGACTGTTCGAGTTAGAGCGCATGTTTGTGTACAGAACAGTCCCCATAGAAACGCTATAAAGCTGAAACATAATACGGTCTAGTTTTGCAGCCTTCGATAATACGACCATGAAAAGGACTGCAGTAATAAAGCTTCAAACTTTTTCTAAACTATTCAATTAATTCTCCGGACGGGTTCAAGGAGTCTTTCTTCGATTTGCCTTATTAACACGTGCGCTGCTTTTTATTTTACTCACCTACAGTTCGGCTGCCATCTTGGGGTGATGTTTCACAACCATTCAAATATAAAATCGAGATTAAAATAATACAGATCTCAGCGAGTGTACTCTTCAAAAAGCTGTCCCAATTATTTTTCAAATTTTACGTCCAGTAGTGACGTTAGGCGGTACTTTAGACGGCCCATTTTTAGCACGAAATAAAATGGGCCTATGCCTGGTTTCAAACCCAGACAATCCCCGCTGTCCCTGAACCCCGTAGACAAACAAGTTGCTTCTACACTTTTACGACGATTCTGCCAGAATCAATATCGACCAATACATGTTCCGAACAAAAAACAAATCCTCCAAACTGAATAATGAATTGAAAAATCAGCGTAGCATCTCTGGGCCTCTCTCCTTTATTCTATTTCGAATGGGCGAAACCAATTTGTGCAATTAGCTTGTGGGATCTGTCTACGGGACTCGCGTAGCTGCCTTTAGTTGCTCGGGCCTTAATTAATTATTTATTTATACAGGTACCAGGCACTTATTTTCAAAATGCATTCCCTTCCTGCTTAGCTTTCCCTCGATGAACGTTTTTCATGTGCGATCAAAGTGAAATTTTGCATAACATATTCACTAACCCCACTCAGATATGGGCACAAACCCGAACCGGACAGATTCTCTGACACTGGCTTTGTAACGGCAACCGATATTTCACATGGGTACTTCACTTGTATGATTGTGATGTTGAATTCGAAATTGGCCTCCCGTGGTCATCAACTTTCGCTTGAACGGCCAACCACATGGATAGGGAAAATCAACGGCGTTTTTCTCTCGAACTGTTGTTTTGCTTTCGCTTTTAAATTTTCATTATTTGCGCGCCAAGCTAGAGATACACGGACTAACCAATAGCAAGAACACATCTGTACCCACTAACTTCGAAGGCTACCATTATCGGCTGAGCATGTATAAATGGCTGGCAACGTGATGATCCAGGTCGTTTAATCGACAATACTAAAGGGCTTAACACTAACCTCTACTGGTAGATTGCCTAGGACCTGCTTGCTTGATATTACTGACGGCGGAATTGCTTGATTCACAATATGGATGCAAACAGCGTTTCGGTTTCAAGCACGTTGGAAAATGGCGATTTAGAAACGCGATGATTTGATTTTTTCCGTACATACTACAATGATGAGCTTAGTTACGAGGAACAATACACCGACAGGTATTTTGCTACTATTGAAGTGCACGAGCGTTCTCTTCGTACGAACCAAAGAAGATGCCTAAATTACAGCTACGCAATCTCGAAAACATGGACAACAGATCTGTGTTCGTTCGGGGAATCAATTGTTTAAATCAAACGCACACGTTGAGACATACATTTTTCAGATTTCCAGCATTCAGTGTTATCAGGAAGAGGTCATACAGTAGGTAGTAACCTACGAACTTTCGGTCGTCCCTATCAACAAACATCTTGTATTAGGACAATCTAGGACATGAGCAGTGGGTAAATGATATGTACATCGACAGTTGGGAAAAGAGGTTATTACTCTTCAGCTCTTCAACCGTTGCTACGACGCTCGCCGCTCCTGACGGACGCTGTGCCAGTGGCTGTTGGCCACAATCAAACCTAACAAAATTTGAATCGCAAATCAAATCGAATGACTCTGATGTGGTAAATATAGGAACAGGCTCCATATGAGAAGATAAGTAGAATACACGACGAGCCCAGATTCGATTCCTGCTACCCTTGTCTCTGGCAGGCGTAGTGGCTGGCACCACCTCGTGGACGGCTGGCCGGCAATTATTTATTGCTCTCTGTTTTCACCTGCTGGGAGCGTCTATTTGAACAGTGAACGAATGAAAGAAATCGTTCTCAGTGGATCGCTATGAAGGTCTGGCGACAATGCTCTCTAAGCAACAGGGGCGCGTATATATCAGCTATATGGATATGAAACAAAATAGGTGGAAAATGACAAAAGCAATCGAGTGCGCACATAAACAGTCATCCGGATGCCTCTATCGCTCGAATTGTCCTATGTTTTTCCTACGAAATGAAAGTTAAGGTTAGCTCGGTAACGTCAAATTTCTAAAGGTACAATTGTAACACGCAGTCACACAAGTGACTCTAATAAAGCGTCGGCTAACAGACAAGTTTAGCTGATCTATTTTTACAGATGTAGTCGTTACAAAAAAACAATTTTTAATTTTATTCGGTCATTCTCGCATCAGAAACGTCAGTGTTACCGCTAAGTACATTGCATCAAAAAGCAGTGCAGGAAATCGGAAAACTCACTATCCAGTAGAACACCATTTATCGTTTGATCCTCAAAGGTTTTGCTTTGAGTTGGAAAGTTAGAGCCACAGAAAGGACACCTACAAAAATTTACTGTGACGCCTATCTGAATTTCTCACAAAAACTATTGCCAAAGAAGTAAAATATTCAAACCCTTTAAAAACAACTCCGCTCGCTCACGCTGATTCATGCCATTTCTTACTGAATTAACTTTCTTCTGCTATACCATATCCTTTTGTCTAGATGCGAGGTTTTTACTTCGCCGCTACACGCGCTTTCGTCGCTTGAGGCAGATAGCTGTTAGTAACTATAATATTTTAGAGCACTGAGCCAACTTCGCTGGAAAAACCGACAACAGATTTCAGGAGACACACGGCGAGAGATGAACTCTAACGAGGTCAAGCTTAGGAACGCTTTGTACTGTTTGGCTTAACGATGATCCAAACAGAGTTCGGATCCAGAGTCTCGAGTGGGGTGAGGCTAAAGGTCCGTGTAAACATTCATGTTTCTCAAGGTTATTGTCTTCAAACGTTCTCCTTCGAAGCCGTCACTCTTCGTCCAATCTGCATTAGAAGTTCGTGCTATACTTGACGTGCATCCATATGGATGCATTGATGATAGTTTGATGATGCACCTCGCACTGAAGGCTGTCATTGCATAGGAATAGTCTATTAATCGCAACGATGCTGTAACGAATAGCGGATCGTTCTCGTCGTGTTTACGGTGGGTAACTGTAGTGCGTTCCCCACTTGACAATCATCCCTGAGTTTATGTCAGAAATGCACCTCCTTTCATCGGGATGTGCCGCGCTACGGAGTTTCGATCAGCAGCTAGCTCAGTTATTGATCGCTGAGTACCTAGTCGTTCCCATGGCTATAACCTGAACAGGCCGCGCGAACAGTCTCGATTGCTAAATAATACGTTTTAACCTAGGTACTCTTCATTAGGTCCGTTGTTAGCGAGTTTCGTCAACAGGTCTAATAGAAGAAAAAAAAGCGTATTTCTAATAGAGAGGACGGCACTAGCGTTTCTCTGTCGGAACAAGCCATAAACAAAAACACATCACCATTTTGGTTGATACAAGCAATAGGGAAACGAGAGTTCTAGTAAAATAAGGTCGATAAACACAACAGCCGTCGGTTAATCTTGCTGGTGCTTTCAATGGCGTCGTTGCAGCTGCGGCGACTGAATGTTGTCGATCTCTTCCCAACTTTTTCTCTGGCCGCTCCTTACAACATTGATGATCTTCGAGGCCTGCACGATGCTGTAGCTTTCCGAGGCCATGGGTCTAACTTTGGGTCCGGCAGCAGTTTGGCCTCAACAGGACGTCCGATATCGTACAGTGTGTTTGGGCCATTTGGGTGCGTCATGACCCATGTGATTGTGTGTGGTTGTGTTATATAAACTATAAACAGCATGTTGACGCGGCGGGAAGTCCAACCTTAACAATATGCCGGACGACAGTGGACGTTCATTTTGTGTTGAATAGTGAACTGCCAGAGGATCCTCTCTAACGATTACACATAACTGTGTGCGTGAGTCTGTAACAGTCACTTGTTATTCTTTTATGGCCAGGCTTATTTGCGGCTCTGACGACCCGGTACAAACGGTAAAAAATCGGGATAAAATGTCTACTGACCGGGCGTAGTGCACACGCAACCCAACGGTTCGAGCATAATAAAAATATTAGTAACACGATTGCGTTCGATTTGGAAATTCTGAAAGCCTGTGTTTCTAAAAAAGAGACATTAAATTAATACATCATTTGGTGGTTATACAGTCTACCCGACCTGGTGATAACCACAAGGTACAAGATATTTCAAGGTATGATCTTATTTGTATGATCATCGTTAGTTCACTGTTGCCCTAGTGCTTTGTAGGTAGACACGTTGCATACTGACCCTGTGATTTTGGTAGGCAGTGACTGCGATAAAGCGCGTCTCTTCGAATGTAAACGTTCGATAGTTGGTGAACTCGTGCGGCCCTCCCGACCCACGTTTAGCGTCATCATCCTGCGCTTCTGGAGCCGCTACGTAAACGACATGGAACCTCGGTTGGTAACGATGCATTGAGTTTAAGATGATCTGAAATATCAGCGACTTTTTATTTATGCGAGTTTACGCGTTTAGCAAGCAGTTATCTCTTTATCAAGAAAAATTCTACACATTTCTACCTGTAAGACCGTCATGAAATTGTCAATAATAACGTTCGACAAAGCCTCCAGTACTGGGTTCCACTGCAAACTGTGTGCAGTAATGATAAAAGAGCTGAGCCCATATACCTTAGCTTTTTTGGTTCACACTCCACATTTTGCCGCAGAAACGTTAGTTATTATACGAGCGTAGGCAGATCTCTGAAGCGTCAACTCACAAGAAAACTGAACGTACATGTCGTAAGGATTACCGCTCTGGTGATCGCACCAGCTGACGACCATTGAGTTGAACGAGCAACGGCTGAAAACCCCATACCTTCCAATTTGGCCCATTTTGAGCTACTAGGGTGACTTTAACCGTTCCATTCTGAGAAGGCTATAAATTGGGTCAATATTTGAGCCATTCATTTTGTGATCAGAGTACGAAGCTATCTCGTTTCTAATTTATAACATTTTAAACAGTCGCGTTATAAAAACCTCAAGTTTGTGTAAATTCTATTTTGCTTTGTATTTCTTTTGTGAGAAACTCTAGCCGTAGCATTAGCAGAGACGAAAGAAGCCCGAAGAAATTTATTTGAAAAATCTGCTCTAAATAATAAGCTAATATCTAGCGAAGTATGAACCCTTTGTGTACAATGGACGGAAGTATCTAAAAAGTAGAGACTGTTCCTGATGTCAAATGAGCGTGTTATTACATGTGTTTGAGAGAAACCCTAACGGGAAAAAAAGCCGAAATAATATCGCCCTGTAACAGCTGGCGTTCCAATTTGCCGCGATGCTCTCGAGCGATTCGCGACGATTCGTCTGGCAGAAATAAGTAACATTTCAACATGTTTTCATCGTGATGCCTAGTGTAACCTTGCTTCGAATTTTTCTAGCCACTTCATCAAACAGCAAGCTCGGCGTTGAAACAGCGCCGAATCATTCTAAATTATCTGAATCATCTATTCTTAGTAGAATACCATGTTCGGTCAGTTGCCAGTGTCCAATACGTGAAGTGTTATCGAAGCTCAATTGTAGTGTGAAATGTATATGTTAATCGTACTACAGGATCGTATGGACAAAGCGTTAATCAAAATACTTGCAAAAAATAATTTCATTGTATTAATATTTTATTGTATAGCTATGATACATATAGCATTTGAATATGCGCGCCAGGAAACCTATGCGATTTTCGGTGCACGTTTTTCTAAATAATTCCAAACGGTCATGTAGCAACTACTACTAGATTGCGGAAACTTATCGGATGCATAGTACGTGCTGCGTACTATAATAAAAGTACAATTGAGATACATGTAAAGTCAAGAAATGATGCTGGTAAGACTAGTCTGTATCAACGTTTATGTAAATCTTTTATGCGTCAATTCTTTGACGTGATCGATCTGAAAGTAGTTATATCTCGTATCATTAGCCGGCACAGTTCTTAAACACCCCTAGTTCTTAAACACACCTACAAAATCGTATCTGTTTTTGGTTGGGCAAGCTATCGAGCTAGTAAATAACAAAAGGCGTCGATCGTTCCTGAACCAAGAAACGAACCACAATCAATTCTATTAAACAAACAGCCATATTTACTGCAACTTTTATTTTATGAAGAGCTATTATTAAGCGGATCCGATCAGTCGCTCGCTCCCCTCTTCAAACAATATCAGGTTATGCGGAGAAGATTAAAGATTAGGGAAATAAAAAGAGATAGATATACACATACATATATATATGGTTTTACTATCGAAAACAACGTCGCTCCGAATAAGCTACTAGGCCAGGTATTGTGAGTAACTTATCTGCCGCCAAGTTCTGTAGCTTAACTGGTTGGCTTTGAATAACACAGCGTACTCGTTGATCGCCGGCTTGTCAAGAGAACTTTAGAGGTAAGAAATCTGGACTGAAAAGACTCACACTTCCACCCACACGTGACCTGTACCTTTTTCTGCTGAGTGCGTACGGCTGCGTGCGCTAGCCAAGTTCAACTCAGTCACACCCGTATGTGTACTGAGCCTCTTGGTAGATCTGTGTCTAATCCATAGTCTTGTCTTAGTCAGTACCGATCACATCTCCCTATAATGGCTATTTAGCCTGTTTTGGTTGTGATCATTAGGCAACCTTTCGTCGTTTTTTTCGCTTCTATCGAAAAGCCATATTTTCAAACTAAGTTGCTACCCTCGCACGAGCTCAGTTTCTACCTTTGTTTCGGTTTACCATGATGTATCAGCACCGGTTAGCAAAAGCTTAGATTGCGGTTCTCTTTATATCGTTAGTGAAGGTCCTGGTCTATTGAGTACCTTTCATTTTCTTCAAGTCGAACTCGTCTCCAAATCTCTTCATCCAGTCTAGCTTCACCGGCCCCTAACGGTCACATGATTTCGGCTTATTCATGGCATTGTTTCTTAAAGGCAGGTCCAGAGAGGCCAGATGTATGTGGTAAAGAACAAAAACGTCTTCGTCGACTGAGTTCGTAAAAATGCAATAGGAAAATCTGCTGACCATAACGCGAATTTGAGGCAAGAGATTTCTCTGACAGGGATATTCCCACATACAACGGCTTCTTTATCAGTTGCAACAACACATAATAATGAAGTTCTGAAAATTTTTACCACTGTCGTATCACAACTGTCAGACCTGTACGTTGAACCTGCATTCCCTAGTAACATTTACATTTTGTTGGGCATGTTTTCATAGAATACCCAGCTTTACCGCGACATTGAAGAGCTGAGAAGGAGGATGGCAAACAAAATGACGTTTGCCGTCTCGCGAAAAAAAATCGCTTTCCTTGGTTTTCTTTACCGGCTACAGCGCCTAGATGAATACAGAATTTGTGTGCAGTTTGTATGTTAATGCTGGTTATGACGCTGGCCGTCTTTTGACCAGTGGCCATTGCCACCCGAATCGGTGCGTAGGAGGTGGGTGACAATTGACAAGACCCAACTTGACTTTGCTATCAATGGTATTACAGCTAGCGGTGTCACGTCGACCGAATACATTTTCGTAGGAGCTGATCATTATTACTGTTGCTAAGTCGCGTGTCTTGTGAATAGAACCAAGACGCTTGTCGAGGGAGCTTTATGGTCAAAGTGATGTTTAGCGGAGTGCCAGATCTCCCGATGACACAGCCACTAAAGACTGCGGCAACTGGCGTTTTTGTGCTTTATTTTAATGGCGAATAACAGAGCAGCAGCTTCTGTAACTTACACGTCTTGATGTATATATTGTCCATCGTCGAAACTGTGTAAGCATCTTGTATGTCCGATTGAGCGCCTGTTGTGACACTGCGCACACCGTAACACCTCGAGGTCAGGTAGAGAGTGCCTTTATGGTTGTGAGGGTTACATGTTTTAGTCTCTATTTTACCTGGACTCTGCCAGATCAGCTAGACCCAACTCGCCAAATGAGAATAAAGTTAAAGCCCATTGGTCCGCTGCGAACGACTTGGAATAGAAGGAAAACGTCGCTACTGACCTATCGCATCCTTGGTTTTTAAATATCACTAAATATTTAATTGCTCAGTTTTTTCAGAAACGACTACCACCTACAGTGGATCCGACACTACTTGAGATTAAAGAGAGCAGTTCCTGGTTTAGTCTTCCTGCTTGAGTCATTTTCAAGGAAGCAGACAATAGCCTAGCTTTTGACGCCTCAAGATGGGGTTTATTCTTTTACTTGAGTACCCGATAAATGAGCACATTTCACCTATTGGTTAGCTCCGAATATGAAACACGAAACGGTCTTTTCTTTATTCCTATTTGGTTCAGTCTCGTCACATTCTGGCCTGCTCCACCGCTGTTTTATCAGGACGAATTTGACCATTACCCATTTAGATCCCCACCCCTATCGTCACTCCATGTGCCTGACCATTAGCGCTCTCCTCCAGACCACAGGCTCAATTCCACGACGCGGAGTCCTACAACCTCGATTCCTTTAGATCTATATCGTGTGCTGGCAGTTTCTGCCGAACATCTGATCTGACCACATTCTTGAAGATCTTGATTCACCCTTATCCATCACCCTTTGCATGGCCCCATATAGCTTCGCTGCTAAAAAGAAAATCTTCGCTCCTCTGTGCAGTAGCAGGCCAACAAGACCAACAGCTGATCCTCATCAACTAGCCAATCAGCCTGTTAGGAAGATCGGGTAAGTTCTGTGGTACTGCGTGAAGTTTCGTAGGATGCTGAGCTTCTATTATACGAAGTTTGTCGACGAAGGCCACGAACGTTGAGGTGCAAATTGTACTACGCGCTAGTGTCACAATAGTGTACCGTGGTCACACGTTGGTATAATGGTCTGCGATCATGATCGAGTCCCATATATACAGAACTTACCGTACATCACTCTCGCTTCACATGAAATCAGCGTGTGGGGTTTGGCCACGGGCTTCAGGCGACAGGCTGCTGGGCCGGTTGAAATGCATTCGTTCTGCTCAAAGAAAAAGTTAAGCGACCGGAGATGTATAGACGAAAGCGAACGGGGTGGTATGGGAAGGGCACTCCCGTCGGATACTTCCGGCCATAGCCCATCAGACTTCCTGCCCGCGCACGTTCAAACTGGTCGAACGCAACGCCAACTAACCCCCTGACCAAGATTCGTAGCTAGGAAAAACGAACCCTTCTTGTCTTTAAAAAAAAAAAAGAGTCCATGGCCATGGAACAACTAATATATCCTATCCTAACTATATGTAGGTAGTTTGTAGTCATATATATATATAAATAGGTTCTCTTCTAGTCAACGTCGAATAAAGCATACAATAGTAGGAGATTAAAACGCAACAATGAAAACACGGTTTAACACTTGTTAGGCTCATACTTAGAAACATCACCCTTTGGTGGTAAATAAAATTCGCCGAAAAGTGTTAGATGGCCTAGGTAGATCTGATGAATATAGACGTAAAAGCTGGCTTCAGCCAGCTTTCACATCTACATTATCATTTACCTCTATCAGTTGGTGATATTATCGAATAGCGCCGTGAACTGTGTAACAACGGAATAATAACTATCGATAGCTTTTGTGCCCTTTCTTTACAAAGAAAAAGTTTATATAATAAATTCTACTCTTGGATCCGTATCTCATCCAGCAAACCGTACTGGTGTTACACATACAGCTTATGCCATGCAATGGTCTCGTCTGAATTTAAATGCAAATCAAACGTTTGTATATGTATTCTAAACAGGTTAAAAGCAAAACCACTATGCTTCATCTATCTATACGACATTTCCTTTTCGTTGCTCTTTTTGGCCGTTTGGACAATTTTCCTGAAAAGACCTGTGCCTGTTCATTCTGTTGACAGGTGGTGATGACAGTGGGCCTGCTTTCGAGACCTCGACGGCGAAGGGGTAACGTTTAGGCAGTTCCTTTTCTTCGTCGTTTGGAAACTCGGGCCAGGCGCCGTTAAGCGGTTTTCGTTTCGGCGCCCACGGCGGCACCCGCGTAAATTTAAGGCGTTCCGTCAGCTGCGGGTCAAACGCAGCCCTGCGCGCTAGCCCCAGTCCTGACAGAAACAAGCAGGCAAAAGCATATGACACATATGTACTGCTACTCCTGTGTATCCACTGCCGTTCTTCTGGACCCCCCTCCCCCCTGTTTTCCTCACTCCCAAAAGTCTCTAGGTTCTCGTCCAACACTGCACGAGACAACGATGCAGCAGCTCAGCGAAACGAATTAACTCTCCCGGATCCCGCACAACGAGGCAGGGGTACCACGGGCTGGGAACAAGATACGAGGGGTAGCGCGCTTCAGACGTTGAAATCGCCGGACGCGCACTCAATGATAGAACCGTGGCTCTGAGCAGCTCCCGCTAACAACGCTGACTGACCCTCGTACAGGCCCTCGCATAGGCGGTGCGTTTAAGTTTAGTTTGAGCACAAGCGCGCAGCCATGACTGGCCTGACCAACACGACAGACTTAAAGACCCGTTGTTTAAAGTCCATTTTAAACGAGCACCGGCTGCCGCTGTCAACTCCCGTTAGAAGGTCAGCTTCGTTGTGCCGCTACGCAAGCTGTCGCACTGTCGCAAAAGCCTTTTAATTAACCGCAACATGGAAAACAATGTATTGACGAGAATATTTTGCTAAGGGCAAGTTTTCAATATTAACTTGAAATATAGTTGAATTACTAATATAGTAAGAGTAACTTACGTGCCCGTTGTCGTCAAGCTGATTATTGGTCAGCTTGAGCCTATCGAATGACACGAGCTGTTTAGTCCATTGAGCACCTTTGGCTGGCGAATCTGGGTGGATGTGCATTCGTGGAGGCATATGGGGATCCGCACGACCGGCTACGACCCATGACGAACTGCAAAATGTATTAATGCCAAAATAGAAGCTTCAGCATTGAAAAGAACAACGTTCATCCTCATATAGATAAAATACAATGCTATAAGATACTCATTATTATGATTTTACTTGTTTATAATCTTCGACTACTGTTATTAGCATTGGTAATGTAGGGCGTAATGTGTTGCCTGCTTAATCTAGGGATTCGTATTCTCCTCAGGCCGCTAATGTAAGTAATGCCTAACGGCAAAAAGCGCTGGGCATAAAACACGAAAAACATTCTTGACTATTCTAATTAAGCTTCTAGAATTATTTTTCATGACTAGGCGTGTCTCAAACAAAAATTAAGGTAAACGATATGTCTCATAGGAAACGTGTTCCTTGTTAAGGACACACCTGACCTGTACTCCTTTCGAAGTATTATATATATATATATATATATATATTCAAAGTGATTGTTATACAGTAATCCATCAGTCACAAAATGAAGTCACACAACTGTTGAAATCGCTTCTGATGTACATAGAAATAGAACACCACATGATAACAATAAAATGATAGAATATCCCAGAAAGCATATTTAGCATTTAATACGCGGTGTTCAAACTAAACATAGTCAGTACGTGCATCACAATTATGACACTCGCTAATTATACAGATTACATAATGGAAGCCGTGTGTTCCTATCAAAAGTCGTTTCTGAAACGTTAGTGATGATCCGAACAATTGATTCCTTATGGACCGTAGTTGTCGTCAAACTCAATTTCGAAGCTCAAGAAGACGTGGCTTCGTATAAGACAGGATTAACATCTAAGTGAATTGACCACCGACCCTGTAGTCACTCTGCCGGAAAAACTTCTCGTTTTTTTTTTTGACAATTTGGCCTGCCGTGAAATTATTCCAGGCGACCGGAATGATCTATGGTTCTACTTAAACAATCTGAGAGTTAAAAACGAATCAGGCTATTTGCAGCTGCCATATTGAGACAGTAGCTAAAATCTAAGGATTACGAGGCGTATGCAACCGCACGCTTTGAGATAGATACGCAAAGCTGTTGACGTTGTAGTCTGGGGTACTACCTAGGCAGACAAGTCAAGTGGGTAGTATCTTCTCTTCTAACCCCTACGGCATTTGTCTTCTAAACACTGATAATTAAATCATTTCTGCTGTGGAGCCTCTTAAGCACTTAAATGCGTAAGCTTGAGAGTAACGACAGCTTTAGTATTACATGTTACAGATAATCATAAAGGTTGCTTAGTAAAACTTTGAAAATACTTTGTTGTTTAGAGAAAGTGCTTGTATTCCACGATGCCCCTGCTTAAAAAAGCACAAGATTAACATTGAGATTGTCAATGAGCCAGCTTGAGGTTCCCCTAGTCCAACTCCAAAAATGAGGTGCACGATTTCGCTTTTTCCTTGAGCTGCAGCGCTCATACAGTCAATAAACACCCTAGACTTTTTTTGGCGAGGGTGTATTGTCGTAGGGTGCTCCCTGTTAAACTTAAAAGGATTTAACATCTACAGTTTTTATTGGTAGTGATTTTGCAGTTCTTTTTTTCTTCGGTATCACAGGCGTCTACTTTGCGGGATGCAATTTTTTTCAAGACAATTCTCGAAAATCAAAATCTAAAAATCAGAAGTCTTCTTTTTTGTGTGCTGTGCGATAAAATCTCCGAACTTGCCACTCAGTAATACTTGTATAGCTTCGCTTATCTCGTTAAGATTAATGAATGTTCGGTAATGATTGGGCCGATTCTGTTTCCGTCACTTGGACATCAAGACTCGAGGTCAAAATCGTGTCTTTTGAAGTTAACGTGTTTTTAAGGTGAACGTGGAGCTGGTCAGGAGGGATAGTATTTGTTTTGAAACGATTAGAAGGCATTTGCCAGCAGGTACAGCTTTTCTTGTGATGAGTCTTTTTTTAGCATTTAAAGCAATCTGCTTTTCTGGCAGGCGCTCGGCCTGAGGTGCCTCACAAGCTCCGACTTAGACTCCGAGTTTCTTCAGATAGTGCTTCAGATAGAAATTAGGAGAAAAATCTCAACGAAAATTTTTTTTCGTGAATGTTTATGTTTCGGGAAGAACAGCCCTTGCTCCTCTTTTATCTTTAATGAAATGTTAGTAGCTTAGCTTAAAACGATTGTAGAACGGCATTACGACCTCAGTAGACAAACGAAAAGTCTAACGCGTAGCTTTCCATTGCTGTATCGGGCCTGGTTAAATTATGGCTGCACCCTTCATCTTCTAGGACGCATTTTGGTAAAGAAAGCAGGAGCTCGGCAAGGGGTTTAACAGAATTGGTCTACAGGAGCTTTCGTAACGCTAGGCAAGACACGCATTAGGTGCCTTGTAAGCACATTATTGGCAACTCTTTTTGGAAAGGCTGAGTTGCCCATTGGCTGACCTTGCGCTAGATGACGTAACCGTTAGGATGACGGGAGTTTGATCCTTAAGCATTAATGATACTAATTTATAAAAAGATTTATCTTATAAGACCAAAGCGTCCTTCAGTGGTTCGCCTAACCAATCTGTCTGGCTTGCCGTATCATGTTAGCTGTGGAAACATTCGATATCGAAGCCTTATGGGCTGAGGAGTGGTGCCGGAAATAGCGCGCCCAGGCGCCATTACAGTTCCATAGGGAAATGTTTATGTCCCAGAAGGGTCCTATTGCCATTAATTGAACCTTGTTTCTATGAATTACTTTTCCGAACGATTGTCTTCGATGATTTTTGAGTGTCCTGAAACGAGTCGTCAGATAGACGAGTGAGATCTTAGTGAATTTAGAAGCCTCTTCTTGTCTGATTGGTTTGTTTGTCTAAGCTGATTGCGGCTTGCTAGCACCGTAGTGAGTGCCAGAGTCTTTTCTACGAGTGCCTGTCAAAACCTCCTGTACTCAACGGAATTGGACTTAACGTCCCATACTAATGAATATACAATTTCACTGCGTTTCTCTTCGTTAACAGAAATTCATCGACGGCCATTATGAGTGCTTTGGGGCCTCTCCAGAGCATAATAAAGCCAATTCACTATTTGAATATACCCTGATAAGCACCTGAGATAAAACCCCCGTTTAAAATACTGAATAATGTCGACGGAATGACTTCAGTGGCACTTCATTGATTACTATTCAATTCGTATCGATAAATAGCGCTAGTGGGGTTGTACTGTTTTGATAATAAGCAGATTACAACTTCATTTGCAGAGAACATGGTCTGACTTAATTGAATCAGGCCGTACAACACTCTTTAGCTGAAGAAATTTGTCTTGTCGGAGTTTGTAAAGCGATTACCACTAGCATCAAGCTTCAAGACTAGCTTTCAGAGTGGTTGAAGCACTCAATACTCAGGTGTTCTGAATTAGTTGCTTTCCGATGAATTGTTTGTCCTACTTCCTAGGGATCCATTGGGCCCATCGATGACCTAATTGAAGTTTATTCTGACGAGATATTCATCAACGGAAACCGAAATTGGCCCGCGCATTGCCAGCTCGACTGACTGATGCCCTACCGTAGCATTATACCGATTCTCAATGAATAATTAGAAAGTAACTTGCATTATCAAGAATTAGTATTAGTACTGTCAGTAAGATAGATGGGTAATGCAACAACATCCAACCTACCGCCCCTTTAATCATAATATTGTATCTGTCGGGCTATCGTAACGATAACTAATGTAGGTCTTTATGTCTGCTTAGTGTCATTCTTGTTTCGGCCCGGTTGGCACATAAGTTTCTGTTTTGCGTCACTGTTATGTCATTGATGGCGTATAACTTTGGGGAAAAACCTCCACCTATGAAGAGGAAGGACCGAGCCGAGAAGGCGGAAAAGTTCTTTATTAATTCCCCCTATCGACGTCTCTTATCACAAGCCGTTGTAAACAATTGGTTTGAAGCTGCTGCAAATTTTCTGGTTATATCAGGCAATCCAAGAGTCATAGAGTTTACGTGTGACGACTTTTAATTTATATCGTTTCGATTTATCTCTCAGTAGCAGTCGGAGCGTTAGGAACGGGCAACGACTCACTAGTACGATATACTTTTGGCGTGAAACATGCACAGCTGGCTAATTATACCCATAGCTACGTTGTGCTTCTTGATTATATGTATGCGGTAGGTCTTGATTAGGATGCGATCCTAGGTAAACAATACTTGAATGTTATACTATACTGACTTGTGAAATGCGTAACGGTAGCGTTTGTCGTCAACTGGAGTAAAATCCATCAGAAGCATATAGTCTGCTTGAGGGTCGAGACCGAATAGGCGGACTTGGAACGTTGGAAACATTCGCCTGAAATGGACAAGGAGATTACACAGTAATACTACATGAAGCAATTGTATACTAACTCTAATAGCTAAACCGATATTAGTACTAAATATATTTTACTATATACTGTCGTATAAAATGAATCGATATAAAAATAATGATGCAGCTTATTTGCGTATAATGAGATATGAGGTCAGCTTTCGAAGCTCGCCATTTCTAGCCCATTTACCTCACGTCTCTTGTCCCAGCTAAGCTTCGGCCGTCAGACTGCGTGGACGAAATAGCCGTACAGCTCCTTTTGCAGGAGTGGACGGGCTGAAACCATAACCTAAAACTATTCGCGGCATGACGCGCTTGATTTCTCCGATGTATTGATAGTAATAATTTGAATGATTTATATTGATGTAAGAAATATAATTTGGGTATATTTTAGAGTTTCGCCAGCACAAAACGAAGGCTCGAGTTTGGGCAAAGTACAAAAATTGATAAGATAATTGGTTATACTGAGTATCTGTTGTGGATCGGAGCTGTCATCTCGTCTTTGTTGACCCAGCATACAACCCGCTGATCTTTATTGCAGCATTTTCTTATATGTTTAGTCTCTATATGCCACACCCAGCTGAGATTTTGTTTGCCTTTTATACGTGTGTCCGTTGATGTCCGCATGTTATTTTTGACAAACGCGCGCAGTTATCAGTTAAGTAATATATTAACACTTAGCCGCGTTCTGAATTTTAAAGGACTCACGATGTATTCAGCTTTCGTTTCAAGCTACCAATTAGATATATATGCATGCAGGCATATGAAAACGTCGGTCAAGCTTGTCAGCTGCAATCAATAACGCAGTACATGCAGTCTTGTTGCAGCAACCCTTAAAGCGGAAAATCCCTGCATCTAAACAGCCATTATTGGCAGCCAGCGGCCAACAGGCAACAAGAGGAACTTTCGACAGCTAAAACGGTAAGTTGTTCTCAACTTTTCATCCTTAGTCCCCTCGCACAGTGTCCTGTAGGACCGAAGCTGGCGCCAACCTCTCGCCTGCATCGTGCATCCTATCTCATAATGTCATTGACAGAAGCGGTGCGTGGCGAATTTCCAGATTGAGAAAAATGTCTCTAAAGGAAAAAGCAAGACGGCTAACAGAAATGAGCGAACAACCCATTTCTTTCAATGCCCAAAACAACAGCGGCAGCAGCAGTAGCAGCCATAACGACCTTAACAAGAGCGATTTGAAATTAGGTGTAAATAAGGCGCTTGACAATGAGTCAGCGGGTCGTAGTAGAAGTTCGAGGATGGCCACAACAACGGGACACGCAATCGTCGTTAGTCCCATCGATCAGACTATTACCTGCACACGAAATGACTTTGCAAAGTTTTATACTACAACAAACACGCATTCGTGCTGAAGGGCTGCACACTAATGTTTCTGTACAGCAAGAAATGTAAAATGTTTGAAAAAAAAACAAGAAATGTAGTCGAAATGGTCCATGTTTCGTCTATCGTTCGGCAGATGCTAACAAATTTTCCTTTTTACCGATTAAATAGGCTACGAAAATTTACGGTACCGAAATCGTTGTCACTGTTGCTGATGTGCTTTAAAGGGCAATACTTTTGTTCAGGTTTTATCTGTAAGATTATTACAGTTCGCGCGCGATTTTTCAAATGAAAAAACCTCTATCATTCAAGCAGTTAGCTATTCGCCAGATTCATCCGTACCCAAATTGTATTACGCAGCAACTTGCGCTGGTCTATTTATGTAAAATAGACAACGATGAAAAAAGAAAAGAGCGCGGAGAACCTCATTCAAAGCCAGGTAGCGGGTCGAAATGGCAGCTCAAGCCCTTAAAACTGCTGATTGTAGGGTGACAAAGACAGAGCCAGTAGGCGAACTACGCTGTTCTGTTATACATATAGAACACAGGGTAACAGCTGATAAGACTAGCTAAAGATGTATGTCAGATAGGAAGTCAAGATAGCGCAGCGTGACTGACATTCGTCACTGCACCTGCCTCAGTGGTAAGGCCTTGATTGCAGACTTGGGCTTTTCATGAGTCTATCCAGATATATCTGCAAATATGTATGTTTTATCTCAAAGCTCAGGATATCTGCTTCGTCGAGCCTCGACTGACCATTCATTATGCGTTCGCATTTTAACTCACCGTCCCAGTGAAGTGACAACGTAAAATCGAACCTGTATATATATATATTTTGCATTACTGCATGATATTCAGGACCCAGTGGTTATGCATTATCACACAGATAGACATTTGGGTATTGTTACGGCCGAAAAGTAGCTTGGCAATACCGTAAATATCGTTATGACGATTCTTGGCGGGAGAAACAGTAATATTTTACAACGCTAGCGTCGTATTTTGTTTACAGATTTCCTTTAGAGACCGTCGGTCGGATATAACTGCTTTATGAATAGATCTGGTACATGGCGCGCCATATTCATGTGTTATGCGTAGCTATATTAAAGAGGAAGAGAAAAACCGTTTTTGAAAAGCTTAGAGTGCTTTTAAGTGACGAATCCTTAATTACACATATACCTAGAATTTCAGCTGGGTCCGGCCCGGCTACCCAGAATAGTAACAAAGTTATGGGACCATTCGGTCCTCCAAGAGCTTTAGACTATCGACGCTCCAGACTTGTACAACATTGCCGTTCATAATTTTGAAACTCTGCTTGCTATCGTGTTCGGTACAATGTTTTTGGAGCTTGTCCACAAGAAATAAATAGTTCATCTTTAAACCTACCCACGAAATGTATGGAGATATATATTTTTCAGCCCAGTGTAGTGTGGCCGTGGTCTATTCTGCAGCAGTGAAAATCTGTTCCGTAGGCATAGGAGGTAAATCTTTTCTTTAGATCTAGCGCGCTCTAGGCAAACCGGTGGAGTCCGATAAAAGAGCGAAAGGCCGACTTAGTCTACCGCATAACAACAGTTCCATCTTCTTCACGACGGCTGATGAACCGTGAACCATTCGATTCAGCTATCGGACAAACGGGGTATTTCCACTGGGCTTACGAAATCTGTTTCTGCCAAAAAAATCCATTGACTTACTAATGTACTTTGCAGTGGGACTTCGCCCATTTAATGTCATATTTTTTCGGTTAGCCGGACATTACTATGCTTATTTTTCAACTAGGCATAGCCTTGAGGATGCATGTTATAAATTGCCTCTTGTGCATTTCTTCTCGACACAAGCTATTGACTTGTCTCTCAAATGGGGTTCATAGTGCTTGTTGAATCTGGCGTAACTTGTATGTATTCATATGATCCGGAAAACCATACCACACAGTGAACTTCGTCCCTAAAAATAAGTTCAGGAGCTCGATTTTTAACTGATGCCATAGAGTTCGACACGCGCCGTTTATTACGAACGACACTGGTTATTATTTTTTTGACGATAGCTTTTATTTGTCGTATAAAAGTTATTGTCTAGTATAATTATTTCATTATCAGGTAAATGCGTTCGAGTGTTATGTCCGTTCTTCAGGTCGTTAGGCATCGTTTCATTTTTAGAACATTTTTAGTAAACAAGTTTTGCGTGGCTGTAACAAAAGGTTCCAGTTTCTCCTGGGATGGAGCGGGGTTTGGCTTACATCATCGTTAATACTCCCTATTGCTTGAAGTCGCATCGAAATCTAACGAGAAAGTGCTGGAACTGCACGTTTCAGCTAATGGCTACCATTTACATTCAAATACCCCACAGACGACAGATCCAATATCATGGCAAAGGGTGCAACGCAACATGAAACAAATCACGTATGCTTGGCAGTAACAACAATCAAGTATTATTTTTATATATGCATGAAGGAAAAATAGGTATTGGAAAATATGGATCGTTCGTCAAGGAAAATCAAAAGGCAAAGCTGAAATAGATGAGGCAACAGATAAAATCTAGCTAACCTATCGACGATAAAAACAGCGTTATCTCTAAAGCGGCTTATAATAATATACCTGGATCCCATCAAATCTGAATTCAATATTGAACCAAGCAGCGATTCGTCGCGCACACGTGCTACGCTGTCATAGAAATTCGCCTACCGAGAGTTATCATCGATGTCCTTCTTTAAGGCATATGCAAATCGAGACCATAGCCAACAGCCTATCTTGTGTACGCCCTCCTTTTAGGCTAGCCTCCAGCTATACCACTTTAAATCAACTGTCAATTTACAATCACTGCGACGTTTCTCCTAGAAAAATTAGGTATAATAATCCAATCGAAGCAGGTCGATACCAGGTCTGCTGGCCTGACAACTGACCCGCCAAAATTTAAATGTGTGTAGTCCAGTAGCTTTACGTGTACTGCATCTTGAAAATAGATCGAACGCTTGATGTACGATACGAACTCACTTCGGTGGAAGGGTTTCGAGTGCATCTTGATTGTTGCGCTCGTTGTGTTTTCCATCTAGAAATGTCGTATTCGCAAAAGGATCAGGCAGGCGTCTTCCACAGCACGACGGCACAAGGCCCCCAAACAACCCTGAGCGTACAACATAGGCCAAAACGTGTATCTAATTCATCACAAAGCCATCACAGCCAGCATCCTAGGTTAAGTGCTTCATACAGGATTGCTTCAAGCGGCTCCACCGCTGCCATAATGCTGGCGCGGTCATGACAGAGCACAACATCTGTTGTACATAGTGAACAAAACTGCAACGAAATTGCATACGTAACAGAATCAGCTACACAGCCGGTAACCTCTCAAGGCTTTGGCACCACTTCCGTTATGAGGGAAATAACAAACATTTTGCTTGTAAACAATAAACGATATAATAATGATAGTTATTATTCTGATAATTATATGGTATGTTATAGTTAAATTAATATGGCTTCAAGAAGGAACGAAGCATGACTATTGAGTTGTAGTTTTTGCGTGCTAGCAATCTGTCCATTTGAAACGAAATCCACTTTGATGGGTTAAGCTTGACAGACGCGTGTACAATGATCTGAGCTTTCCTCGTCCATTCAGACACCCAAAAGTTGGACACGACGCCGTACGCCAGTATGTAAATGAACCTCGCATTTACAGATTACGCAGGACAGGTTACTTAGATGTCAGGGACACTTCTTTTAATTGGTTTTATGGTCCATCGTACAGAAAGATACTTTACAGTCACTACCAAGAGTGCTATATGAATATAGCAAATTTTACATATATTTTGGGCCGCCCCGTTGTGAGGGGTTCATATTCCATCCATACGCTAAAATCAGACTGCATTGCTCGATAAGCAGACCTTATGCAGATGCATAAGGTCGTCATTTTTCTCTAATTTCCACTAATGTTCTTATATGCACATGTACGAGAATGGAACTTAAATACTTGCGCATATGGTGTGTATGTTTGTAGCTACATCAATTTACATTCGTTGGTCGTCTTGTGTAAAGCAAAAAAGAGAAAGGTCGAACGAATATAACAGCAGCAACAACAACAACAACAGCAGCAGTGCCAGTGAGTCCCAAAGGCAGGAGAAGCGGTGAGTATAGTCGTCGTCTCGGCCGTCGACTCTTCCTGTCTGAGTGGGCTCCCCCTGCCTAATTGAGTCGGAGTTCTCCTGAGACTCCGTACGGTCTCAAGGGTATAGTCAAGATGAAATAGAGAAGCAAAATCCCCTATTACACTTGGGCAGCCTGCCGATGGCTGATCTCCTAACTATCTCTGCGATCTCGTTTGCGAACTCCTTTCCCTGTAATATGGAACCCTCACAGCAGTTATGAGGAGCGAGGGCACTTTCTATGGACGACGGAAAGCTCCCTGTCTCTCGCCGAAAGGCCGCTATATGTATGCCTGTGGATACGTCGAGAGTAAAAAATTGGCTAACACGTGAAGTAGGAACTAACGGACAGAGAACTCAACGTGGCGCAGAGATAGGCGCTGCATTCGATGAGAATATGGAGGCAAAGACAGCAAGCTAAGAACGGTTTCTTCTGTTTTGACCCTGACCGTTATTTCCAAACAAATTTATCCATTCATTGAGGTTCAATTTGCAGGTCCACTTCCGTAGCTCGTGTCGGAGTATCCTGCGGTAGACAAACTCGCAGGGTTATACCATATCATGCCAGCTAGCAGACATGCAACGTCATGCTTGACGAACGGGCTTGTGAAACGAAAGAATAAAAGCAAATGGCGAGCTATTTAAAGCGTACGGTGACCGCCGTTTCTGGTTGTAGCAAAAGAAGTTTAGGGAACGCGTTGGCCGATGATTATCAAAAAAAAAGCTTCACTATTTATATATATACGTTGGTTGTTTTAATTATTATAAATTATAATAATAAATAAAAATTATAAATGATTCAGTGACCTTCGAAAAATTATATTTGAAAAAGCATTTATAAGATGGCTAAACATCTCATAATGGTGAACTTTCTACTATGTTGAGTGACATAAACGTAAAGATCCAAGTTCACTTGACAAAGCTGTCCGAGCCTGCAGATACTTTGTATCGAAAATACTTGCATAATGCCCAGATGCATAGGCTTTAGGAGAAAGTATGGCAGTTCATTAAATAAGGACGTTTTTTTGACAGTACAGATATTCTTGCATTCGCCCTTTGCTGCGCAGAATGTACGCCTTCCTCCGCCCGTGCCAAGAAAAACCAGTCGGTTGATTGTTTGAAACGTTTCGTTTTTTATTACGAATTACATACAGGTTAGCGGTTAGAGTTATCATACAGGCACGTATTCACATATACACGTAGAGCTCGATCCCTAATTTGATCCACAAGCTTGTGGAAGAAGACGCCAACAGAACGCGTTATTGATGATCAACGGTCAATAACTGTGGAGTATATACGCTTAACAGCGTAAAACAACGAATAGCCGGGCTCATTAATGCATGATTCGGATCTTGGCACATACTTTAGGACACAGATAAGGAAACAACCTATGGCTGCAGTGAAAATTGAGAAGGTCCTGATACATTCGTTTGACAACGATTCTAGTTTCGGCCAGTTTCTAGATTGAGGATCTTGAAAATGGCACGATCAGCATGCCAGCCAACCAACTAATATTTTTGGCTAGTAGTAGCACCGTCGCGTCGGACGAAAAAAACGATGTTCATCGATTCGAGCCTCGATATATTTACATGCTCACATATGATACGTTTGCGTTAGATTACAAAGATCCGTTGCTCTAACAAGCGTTTCGTTAGCGTGTAAGGTTTTTTTTCTAAAAGATTGAACACATATTGCTCAGGGTGCTGACTATTCGGGCGCCATCAAGATAGTCACATTTTGCCCGTTCTTCAATGGCATCGGGGCTTAACGTGGGTGTCGGGAAAAAAATCAATTGGTATTCGAGTGCGGATTTCGTCCAGGGCACATACTGTTCGTACCGCCACACAGAGGGTGATCACGCAAAACGTTGTCCACGTTCCCTGGCTCTACTACCTGCTTTCCTTCCTAACCTGTCAGAACCGATTCGCAGTGAATGCCAAAGACACTTCGACGGACCGGGAAACGGGGGGCGGAGAGTAGTCAAGCCTTATGTGGTCACGGGCCGGTTCACTACGAAGCCAGAGCTCGCCACATCAGGCCCAATTCGGTCCTCCCCATTGCGGCACCGCGCGTTCAGCCATTGTTCCTTTCCGATCCACGGTAGCGTATATGGCCGCTAGCGTTGGCATGAATGTTCTTTGACAATGGTAAAACGATGGGGCTTTTTCGTTGCACTGCCATGAAAGGTAGGATGCCGCTGTTTTGTTTTGTGTAATCCTGTTTGCCCACTTGTCGAATAGGACCACAAAAGGGAGATAATGGTAACGGGTGCGGGTACATGCCACTTGAGTGGCGAAGGGCGACGGAACGAGAGACCACGCGGTGAGGTCCCCAGGTGCGTAACGACACTTTGACTCGGATGGATCGCTTGCCTAACGATAACGTGACCTGCTTACGACTGTGCTTGCAACCATGAAGGCGCAAGGATTGCAACTTAACTGTCGTCTGCGACATTGTAACATAAATAGGAAGGATGTGAGAATCTGTCCTGGGTTGTTCCGCGACTTAATTCGCTAATAATTTTATATACTGATGTGCAGTGTGCTTTTGTGAATTGTGCACGTTTTATTCAGAAGTGATCATCTTAATAATACAATTATTTTAAATGGTGATTGTACTTTTCGGTGCCAGCAACTCGAACACAAGAGTAGTTTCGACACATCTTACCAGATAACAAACAAAAAAAAATAACTAGAGCATAGGTTTATATATCATTGAGACGCTAAACAGTGCCTACGTAAAATGTTCGTACACTTTACGTGAACAGCTTTTACGTGCTGGTTCTTAACATCCCATAGGAACAAAGTTTCCATATGATGCCAGGCCGCCGATTGTCCAATTCACAGTCAACCGTTTTACGTATAGCCATTGTATAACTGAAAATTAGACCAAAGATAACCGCTTATCTTACCAACAATGCCCCGCGACGTTCGCCGCTACATAGTACACAGCTACGGGGGCGTTGTTAGCTAGATGGAGATACAAGCGCTGCTGTTGGCGGCTTGAGAATTAGCGCACAGAAATCGGAGATCTTACCGAAGCTGCAATCGCATGTATACTTAGGACCGACCTCATGGGGCAAGAGCACGAGAGACCTTTGAGAGAGAACTGCTTTGTTCTTCACCATTTACTCGTGTAGGGTATTATGTTATACGCTTGCCGTTTCTCAATATTTTTCCAGATTGCTCAGTACTCGTACAAGACTTTAATAAATGATCGAGGTATTGCTACACAAGGACGGCTAGTCGATTTGTCCTTATCGAATCGATAGTTCGACTTCTATGGAACCAAAACAAATCCTCGATGAATTATGACAAGACGAAGATGGCGAATAAGCAAAAACACCCAGAGTTATGCTACATTCAGACACTGTCAAGTTTAAAAGGAAAAGCTAACTTCTATTTTCAAAATCAACCGAATAGCTAGTAGGATCCTGAGGCATGCACTTCCTCTTTTACAAGGCCATTATTAACAAGTTAGGTTACCGACTCATAATTTCATGAATAGATCAAGCTACAATTAGTGAAGTAATTACCAAAAAAATTAGCTTTGTTGCATCGCTAGCAGTTGATATGGTTTAATGTTTCTTCTCGGCTCCATTAGCTCATACGAAGTTCCGTGGCCATCTGTGAGTCAGTCTGCTTTCTTACCTCCCAGCTTTGGTGACAATCATTTCGGTCCCGAGTTGATGGAACTCATCCCATAGAGGCTTCTGCTCGAGACAGCAGTGTACTGTTGAGAGGCGAGGATGCAGCGGCTTTTCGCGGATGCCCTCAGAGCTGCCCGTTGCGAAAACTTCTTCACTGCCTACTGATTCAGCTGATGCCAACAAGCGTTCGTGCAGAGGTGCTGGGGTACACGATGGTTCTGAGGGTAAAACGGGCAGCCGAGGGCACGATTGCGTTTCTGACGGTTTACATATGGCCGCTGCCATCGAAGACTCTGTTAATCCAGGGCATAAGACAGTTATTTCTTAACCAAGAATAAAATGATTCTTAGATTTTTATTCTACCCGCATCAGACAACAGGACATGAATCGAGAGAAGCCGCGAGAAATGATGTTGTAAGTTGTCTGGGTAACCATAAGTAGAACGCTTGAAATCCAAGTTACGAGACCTTTTAAGGCGTACTTATGGATTGCAAAGGGACAAACGCTAGCGAAGTAAAAGACGCCCGCGAGGAGCTGGCAAGAGGAAAACTGAATATGATGATCGACTAAACGTGCGATTTCCGTTGAATTTCAGGGAAACAGAGTACATAGTATTTTTTTTTGTTATACGACAGGTTCGCCAGTTCCAACTACACTATTCGAGACAGCCTAAAGCCAACTTGCCTTTTATAAAAACTGTTACATTAAGTGTTATTACATGAATACTCCAAGGACGACATGGGCCAAAGCAAAGGGGAACGTTATTTATTGTTGATATTCCAAAGAAGTTAAGTGAACTAACCCGTCTTGAGGTGAAACTTAACCATGTAAACATATAGTTCGGTGTATATATATAATCATGGTTCTGATCAACCATCGATGATTACCTATAACAAAACCGTGGATAACTGCTATGGCCTCACTGCGGTCGAGCTCTCTTTGAATAACGATACGCACAATGCTACAATCTCCCCTCACTTCTCAAATATGAGTCACTTTCTGAATGTGCTGTCATTTAGGCGGACCTTACACTAGTTTAATAGAAAATGGTTATATATATTTAGATAATTTTCAAAGTTTCTTAGGACATTGGTAGCTAAAAATGGTGCTTGCTTAAACTAAAATAACTTTAATTAACGAAAGGTGATCTTAATTTTCTACACTCTGCGCGTTCTAATGTCGCTATATTACTACGTTGTACCTTACAAGAGTTACACCTCCCACATTGTAGCTCGCTAGGCTATTTAACATCCCGTTCCTGAAAGATCTTGTTAGAATAACTCAAAATCTTACAGAAGAAACTAGAACGAGGCAAATCGTTTCGATATTCTTGGATACGCCAAGTTTATAGAGTATTGTGCGGTGCTTCAGACCAACTTTGCTTTATTACCTTCTTAACCCATCGGTAGTGAAAATTGCATTGTTTTGTTGCAAAATCGTTTTTGCAGGCCGGAGCAGAAATTTTTTTCTTTTGAGAATCAGGACCGTACCCGCACCCAATGAAAGGTTTAATACGTTACTAGAAATTAGAATTTTCCCTAATTTTTGCCTTTTTCCTTCCTCAGTACTAATAGCCCTTGCTTCAACTAAGTCGTTTAATTACCTGTATGCATAGCAGGAAAATGTGGATGATATTGCTGTTGTAGTCTATAGTAATCCTGATAGTCCTGATTAAGGGCACTACATTCATCCGTTGACCCCGACTGGTTCTGGTCAGAACCGGACGCCGGCTGTCCTGGCTCATCGCCAAGGCAGCGGAAGGCCATCAGTGATGCAATTGAGAACACATTCCCTGCTGAAGCGGTCGAAGGTATGGTTATATGATCCATTGGGTCGTCGGCAGGATTGGCCGCTACTAACAAATTCAGCTATTAGCTATAATCACTAAGCTTCGACTACAGCCAGCGAAGTTCTTTTGACTTCGTTTTTCCAATCGAAATTTTCTCGACTGGCAAACGGTCCTTGGGTTTGTCGCACCGAGCACTCACTGGTTTTTCGTTAATCCACGAATTAGCGGATTCATAAACTTCTAGCGAAAATTTCATCGGCGCACAACTTCACGTACATATCACGTACACGAACACGTCAACTCAGGTAACCAGAACATCGATATCTAGGTTCTGTCAGACTTCCACAAGCGTAATAATAACTTGAGATAATAATTGGAGAACTTTGTTTATGAGCCGTATACACAGCTTCAGTGTCTAATAATTTTGTTACTGTAATGTTTCAGCGTACCTCTAATTAGCATGTGTACAGTATAGCTATGTTTCCGGGGAATCAGCAGGCGAGTATCTGTGTTGTCGCGGGTTGGCCGGCTAAATGACAGAGAGAAAATTCAGGTCGCGCCTGGGAAGATCTTCCAAGATGTCCTGTCACGGCTTTACTCTGGAAGACAGAAGCTGCTTGGCGAGAGATGGGAGGTGCCTGGGGCCTGCTGGAAGGCGGTGCCTGAACAGAACACACCCACGCAGTGTACGGAAGCACGAGCCTAGTGACTGCTACTGCAGAGGCCATTCTTCGGGCCGCCAAAGCCTGAGTTGCTGAATATGATGTTATTGTAGCCAAATCTCGAACTCAAGACGCGTTTGGCACACTGCTCACCCAGCAGACATTACGCCGTGTCTACTTCCCACCGGAAACCCACTGTGTTAGGACTGACGTGTCTACCGCCACCTACAGACCAGTTCTTAAATACAGGAACCGAGAGGCTATTGAGACGCTGAGTGACATACTTGTTGATGCCTTTATGCCGTGGTGGACTTGGTGGAGGGAAGAACAAAACATATGCAGCCAATGACGCTTCGATACGTCTAAGATTATCCGCTATACGAGTTCCTCGCGCACTCTGTTGGCTGAACGAATACACTTAGATTCGTAACGACGGTTTCAAAGATGGCTAGTAGTGGCATTGCATGAGAGATCCTGGGCAAGGCCGTAGGCAGTGCGAAACAGAAAGCTATGGTGAACAAAAGCAGATTGCAGAAGCAACGACTGTGTATTTAGCACGGCGAAACCGGGACTCGCCAGTCAACATGACTCGGGCAACAACAAAGCTGGACATACCACCGCGCACCGTTTTACTTTGGGCGGGTGAACTTGAGCTGCTTGTTCGTAAGCTTAAAGATAGAGAGACTATAACTCATAAGGTTCGAGTCGGTGCTGAAAGATATAAAATGTTGCAGACTTCAACAGATTTTCTAACATCGAACATCAATTAGCTGTTAACGTCTTGAGCTTGTTCTCAAACTACGAGAACCGTGTCGCTTCGCCTTTCTATCGATTAGCGATATTTATATGCTTGTTATGACGGTACTTGCGAAAGGGCGTACGGATGACCGTCAATGCGGCTTATAGCATTTATGTCATATAGTAAACGTTTTAGATATGGGAGAAAAATTAGAGGCCACTTATTATGTTATATTTGCCGGGCGAAGTAGCGGCGCCAGATACCGAACGACACTCTCCAAATCGTACGTTATATTGTGCAAGCTCGACGGTATAAGTCATTCAGTGATTTATAAACCCAGCGAATTTCGTGAGTAGCTCTTCTTTATTTGATTTTTCAATCTAACAAAGATGACTTGACCACTATTAGTGCAGGTATTAAACGCCTGATAGAAAATTATAGTACAGCGATATATATAATGGTTATATACTTTGATTAGCTGAGAAGTATCTTTTACAGTAAGCGAGTTCATATATGTTGAAGAAAACCTACTGCTAGGTCGATTGGTTGACTAGGTTCATGTGGCCATGCGGCATCACTGTGCAGCATCTCGCTATGAATCGGCACGCTTAGCATCTCCATTCGTGAAGATTGCAAGACTGTTATCTCTTTCTATCACTACACCCATAGCGGTGAATGGAAACATAAATAGCCATAAAAGTTTGATGATAACACGCGTAAACCGCATGAGATGCCAAACATGCAACTCCCTCTCCAGTCGACTTCAGTAGATAGGTAGGTCTGAAAGGAGACAGACACGTGCTCCTTGCACACGTAATGTTGCCTCGCACAAGAAGCACCATTCATAAACAGAATCTGACAAGTCAATGAACTCTTATCAAGTTAACCCTTTATCTCGACGTTGGCCTGTGGCAACTTCACGCTATTGTAGCATTGTGATAACTATCTGGGGCGACGGCCACTATATAACTAAACCCAATCGTTTGGCATCACAGAATAGTTATGGACGATTAGAAAAGTTGATGTAATCATTGCGAGAGAAAGGGGAGGAGGGGTGTACTAATCGGACTGATTCAATAGAGGCACGGAGCATCGGAAGTTAGCCCGGGTTTTGACATAGATAGCGATATAATAATGAGCCAGTGCTTTTGGGCTTCGTCGGCGATGTTCATCGTGTTGATTTCAATACTTCTCATTTTTCAATTGAAGCCTAGAAAAGCAAGATCAAAATGCTTTGTAATAGCACAATGCTTCTATTTATACTTACTACAGTTCTATACGCTTTAACCGATTTTATAGGGAAAAAGGTAATGATATATCTGTTTAGAATGCTAGCCGAATAGATATATGTAGGTTAAAAAAAACGATCGCTCACTACTTTATGTGCTGGAATCCTTATATAAGCTTCTTCATCTCAACAACGAGTTCGAAAGGAAGCGAAACATATTAGGACTGGCTTTTTTGAAGGAAGAAAGTTGACATTCCATATATTCTCTGTCTTTTACCCTTCAGCCGCAGTACACCTGACACAGCGAACTGCGTAGTTAACTTAGCGTAGTAAGTCAGGTTAGCTTTATTTAATTAAAAGAAAACCATTATTATGTACAAATTTAGATTAGGTTATATTTCTTTTGTGGTAAAAAACTGAAACGACTTCTATGTTTAAACGGCATTGCCCTGAGTTAAGCTGGACGAAGCACGGTGAAGAACTTCAGCGTGCCGTTTGAAATGGGGGCGCCAAAACAATTGGACAATTAACACGGCGTAGTGAAATAGAGTAGAGGATCAGCCAGCCTTCTAATGTATTGGACAGCCCGTATAGATTAAGATTACCGGTATTTAGGTGGTGCTCCATAGGGACAAACAACCATACCTTATGTATGTAGGATAAAAATAAAAACGTAATGCTTGATTGAATTCGGTCCAAGGAGATAGCCAATCAGTGGAGTTTGTACCACTTCGACTAAAACTATCATCAAGATTGACGTACTCCATGTTTTCTCGAAGTAGTGTCCAAAAGGCTTCAGAGCCAGAAATGCCTATGAGGCACTTCAAGCCGACAGTCGGCTAAGGAAAGAGCTTTTTTTCGCCATTAAGCTTAACCAGCAAGAGCAATGTTTACGATACCCGACGTAGCTCTTAGTGGAAACTTGCAGACCCAATGCTGAAAATAGCGTCCTGGAAATAGCTTGCAAACTGGAGATCTGCTAAACATTTATGCTCGATACATCTAACCTCGGCATGCTTCTTAGTCGGACCGGTATTTGCTGTGCTATACGGTTTGTTAGAATATATTGAATAGTGGTATAGTGATAATTGGCTAGGGCCTGAAGGCGACTAGATTGTACCCTTACTTATCGAATTTGATGTGATCTGTTTCTGTTTTGCGATATTCAGACTCAGTCCGCGACCTGTGTGAGTCCGCTGACTCATTCATAGATTGCTGTCAGCTCACATATCCTGCTACACGTCACGGCACTGCTACGGGAATGATTTATAGCTCATGCTTGGAAACTTCCACTTTTGTCCTATGTTCCTGCATCTGCTAACGCGCATTATGAAGGTTGGTTCGATTCGAAAACCTCACCAGCGTTATGAATGCAACTAACCACAGTTGACAACGTCTCTGCTGAGGATTCTTCTTTGAGAAGTTCATCCTATTTAGTCGCTAATGATACGAAATAATTTCGTACATTTCCCTTGACGCCGGTCTAAACAGTGACGGCAACATTGTATTGACGGTTCCTATATACGCGGATAGTTATCTCTATATATGGTAAACAGTTACACATGTAGGACGTAGATACGTTATTCGCAGCGTCAGCTTCGGCTCTATGATACACAATACGCTCTCTTGTAGATGTCCGAACACGGGTTCGTATGCAGTGTATATCTATGCAAACTGATAAGTCCTTCAATGGAGTGTGATAGTGTCATTAATCCAGACGGCGTTCTACCTGATCCCTAGTTCAGGCTAGTGATGTTAGAGCCATCAATGTTTTGACATAACCGCGTTGCGCTTTTACCCGAATCGACGTTTCAGACTTGTCTGCCATAAAGTAACATAGGGTGAATGGCAGACGTACCGCGATACCAGTGGAATACATCTTAGCCGTATTCTATCGACACAGGATAGCTTAAGGTAGTAGCTTAATACAGAAATATCCTATTTCTGTATTAAGCTACTACCTTATAGAAGGCTCAAAGATCTCTTGGAGCTAAGAGCGTAAAGTCAGTAACAGGTCAGAATCGCTTCATGGGTCAGGGTCGATCTGGAGGACCCAGATACTGTGGCATCTTCGAGTGCTAAAAAGATACTCAAGAAAGTGGAAATGCTGGCGGAATAGGCTGAAAACGCATTTTTGCCTTCGTCACCTAATGCGACCCTTTCACTTACTCTCTATTGCATCTGTAACTGCATACTGCTCGCCTACGTAGTGCGTCAGAGTCTACTGAAACGTATGTTTGGGTAAAATAAAAACCCTTTGCTTACCGAGACGATACACGAAGAATTACTAGCTTGCCCACAAACGCTAAAACAGCTGTAGTTATCCCTAGTCAGAGTAGATTCTCAGTGGGCATTTTGGTTAGTATGATTGAGGGCAAAGTTTCAGATGTTCTGCCCTCGCTGAGACTTCGCTTGAATTGATTAGCACGTCT